TCTCCTGCTCTCTGCCAGCACTGGGTGGGTGCTCCACATGACGGGAAGCAGTGGCAGGAGCCAGGCCAGCCCTGGAGCCGCAGGCTGGAGTGGGATAACCAAACTGAAAGAGATGTAACACAAATTGGGTGAAACACATCCCCCCAAAACATGCCTCCCCCACTCACTGCACTGCAGGTGATGAGAAGCAGAGAAGAGCCGCAGCCTTTCTGGGAGCCCAGACCTCGCGGCTCCCCAGGCCAGGGCTGTGACACGCTTTAACACCCTCTTTGTGGCTCTGCGGTTTCTGGTGTCTCCTAGTTTCCGGGTGCTACTGCGTTCCCCTTGTCCAGACACTGGTGCCCACAGCAGAAGCTGCTTGTGATCTGGCCTAGCATTTAACACAGCTGACACGTGTGACAGTGCCCGGGGTTGCCTGCCTCACTGCAGCAGCTGGCGTGCCTGGCTGTGCACAATGGCCAGACCCTGCACTCACTCGCTCACACATCCCTTGCCACTCCACACCTGGCTCACCCTTGGCAGACATCAGATCCAGGCTGGTAGCACAAGCCAAGTACAGCCTGCTGGGCTGAGTGGGCAGAATGTGTCCAGCAGGCATGAGCAAAACTCAAGTAGAGGCACCGCTGGCCACAGAGGTTTCTGGCTGGTGAGGCAACACCCAAAGGATCATCTGACAATTACATGAAGACAGAAGATGAAACATAAGCTAGCAGAACTCAGTAAAGAAAGACAAGAGCAATGCAGAAAATCATCAAGAAGAAAACCAGGTAGTAATCAACTTAAAATAACATGACTAAAATTCAAGAAAAGGCACAATAGGTTGGTAAAAGAAAATGAATGAAATGTGTAATAACAGAGTTTTAGAGTAGAATAGACAGCCTTTATCTAGAAAATGATAGCAAAGAAGATCCAAAATATGCTTGTTATTCCTGAAAAAGAGAACTCATCAAAGTTCAAAAGTATTTTATTATATAACCTCCCTGAAATATTAGCACATCATGTCCTAAGAAACACTGACAAACATAATCAATCCCAAGTTATATCCTGATGAATTTATGGAACTTTCATAATAAGGAAAAAAATTACATGGCACTTAAGGTAGGGGAAGCACACTCCAAGCAAAAGGAAATAATCAGACTGTGTCAAACTTCTCTACAGCAACACTATAAGTAGAGTGAAGCACAGTCAAGGTTTTGAGGAAAATATGGTAGGACTAAAGGATTCTGTCTGGCCAAGTCACTCTTCAACTATTAAAAAAATAAAATCAGACATTCTCAAGACAATCTCAAGGATTACAGCATCCATGAGCTTTGTTCATAAAACTTCCAGCCAATGAAATCTAGCCAAGAAAGGATGAAGTGAAATAAACTAGGAAAGACAAAGCTACTCAGACATGAGCTTAAAAATTAATTTAAATTTTGAGACAAAGCTAAACACATGTGATTATTATGCAGACATTAGAAAATAAAATTGAAATAATAATACTATTTTGAGTTCAATATTCCAAAGTTAGCCTCAAAATCAAGTGTAGACTACATGGCAATCTGGATAAAATGATCAAACTCTGAGGTTTTTAAACTGAGATGTTATTTAATGCTGTTCCATGGTGTTTATGTTTCTATCCAGTGGAAAATGTGGTAGATAATTATTTGGATGTCTAGCAGAACACGATCTCCTATTCTAAATTCTGCCCTCTTGAGTTCCTATGGTTATACAGTTCTGTCTGTCCTACATGGCCCTATCTCACGGACAGAGCTGACTGAATATGAATGCATAATAAACCCAACTAGACCAATCAGATCCTCTGCCCTGTTGCCTGGAATTGAGACACTGATCCTGTGGATGAAGATATGTACTATCGGAACTTGCACTGTGGCCAAAAAGAATTCTAGTTCATAGAAATAAATCAGTAAAATAGATATAAGGAGGTAAGAAACCTCCTTAGTATAAGAAATGACATTATAATTAACAGTTCCAAATAAAACCATTAAGCTGGATAAATTAAAGTGAGTTCTGGGTTGGGGGGCAATGATGATTCCTCTATCAAGGAATAGAAAAACAGCAATTTGGTTTGGCAGTAACAAAATAGTTCAGCTATCATTGTTATATTTGGCTATTCAGTCTGTATTTTCATAAAAAGTGAAGCTTTAAAGGATGTAATCGCCCACTTGAAGGTACCAGAGTATCTTAAGGCAAGAAATTACATAGACCAAAAGAAAAGCAGGGATAGCAATTTAAGACTGCTGTCTTTCCAATCAATAAATTATGTGTCCTGCCAAAATGCAACACCTAAATTATTTGAATCATATATCTCCAAATTAGGCTGATGTCCTTATTGAATACTAATATTTATAATGGGATATGTGCAACTAAGATCATGGAAAGAAATCATTATCCATGTGCTCCTTCATGAGCTAGAGAATGGCCTTCTATCGTGTGCCATACCATAGCTCCAATTTAACACATTTGCAAATATCTTCAAAACATAATCTGGATTTTATGATTTAGGCTTAATACACACGAGCGAATTAAGGAATTGTGCTCTGCTGGTCATTGTTTTTCTTCTGGGCCTTAAGACTAAAGCCATTAAGCAGATAAAAATGGAGTCAGGATTCCAGGATAAGACGTGGATAAAAATAATAAACCAAGTTCTGACAGTTCAGCCAAGCAAATCCATTAAGCACCGTGATGCAACAAGTTATCTGGCTTGGTTTACTGCAAATACAGCTTCCTAAAACCAAACAGTATCAACAAAGATTTTATCAAAGTCTACAGGAATGTTGACGTAAAAAAAAAAAAAAGACCAGTAATTTTTTAAAAGAAAACTCCCTGTATCCCAGCACTTTGGGAGGCTGAGGCGGGTGGATCACGAGGTCAGGAGATCGAGACCGTCCTGGCTAACATGGTGAAACCCCATCTCTACTAAAAATACAAAAAATTAGCCAGGCCTGGTGGCGGGCGCCTGTAGTGCCAGCTACTTGGGAGACCGAAGCAGGAGAACAGCGTAAACCTGGGAGGCGGAGCTTGCAGTGAGCCGAGATTGTGCCCCTGCACTCCAGCCTGGGTGACAGAGCAAGACTCCGTCTCAAAAAAAAAAAAAAAAACTCTGAACCTAAACAACAGAACATAAATGACTCGAACCAATATGGGAAACTCAGCTAAAATAAGGTTTCTTTCAGTTTTTTTGTTTGTTTGTTTGTTTGTTTAAGTCAGGACTACAAAAAATGCTGGCAGAGCCAGACTGGATTTCTATGCATTATGAACAGCCTCGTTACGAGAATCCTCCCCAATATTCCCTTCAGGGTATCTCTGAAGGACATCAGATACAGAAGTTATACCAGTAGACAGAACCTGGGCCAGCTAGAATTCTTAACTGCTCATTCTACTGGATAGAAAATGAATCAACAGACTCAAAAGTCTACGACATTAACTGGTCAGCCTCTCTCCCTCAGATTACAACATGCCTGCCCTTAGATCCCAAATCTGTCTCAGAAGAAGAATATTTTGGTATCACCAATGTGATGAAACACAGTGAAAAGGCATATTGAATAAACTATACTATTTATTCAATTCTATTTTATCTCTGTTAACATTTTAAATTGTTATAAAAATAAATTCTGAAAATAAAGAAACATTATGATTGTCATTTCATGGAGAAGCAGATCAATATCCTCTCAGGTTGGCCCTTCACCAATCATTTTAGCCACTCTGTAGCTTTGACCTTCTCATAGCAGCCATAGGTGGTTCAAAACACAAAAGGCCAGAGGCAGCAAAAGCACAGAGTAATAAGAGTACAGAAACAGAGCTCTGGTACCTCACAGAGAACAAAGCTGTTCTCAGGGTGTAAGTAATCAAGAGCAAGCATTTTACAGGGTATTTTAGAGAGATGTAAAAGCTTTTTGGTAAGGCAGTTATAAAAACTCAAATTCAAATGAATGCTGAGCAAAGGCACAGGCAAAGACTAGAATTCTTATGCAAATTACAGTTGCAAGAAAACATCTGGAGCCAACTGACAGAGGACTAAAATACTGTGGAATAAAAATGGGAAGAATGCAGAAGACAGTCAGTCAGTGGAAACTGGGAGAAGAAACATGGAAATTAAACATGTAAAAAAAAAAAACCTGCTCCCATGTCTATACTGATGATTTTTATTAATCTTATTATGAGAAGAAAATGGAAGTATCAGTACATGCTGCTGAGAATCCATAATTATAAAACAAAAACTAAACAATTTTAGTCTAGTATTGCCATATATATTTTTGGTTACTTAGAAGACATTTTTTATTGTCTTATACTAACTTTAACAACCCCTCCATATATTCATCAAAGTTCTGATACTTAGAAAACAGAAAATAGATAAGCAAATAAATTTGGTTTTTAACAAGGTTTGTTATCTGGGTGTTACTTGTTTTCAACAGATAATTTGAAAACATAGAATTTTCATTAGAAATGGATTTTTGCTTGTATAAATGTTCCCAATAACAATCTTCTGAGCTTTCTTGTCAATTCAGTAAGATGAAGGAAGGCTAAGCAGAAATATTGAAACATAAATACTGAAAAGGAAGATACAGCAATATTTGTAGAAAATGCTGCTGAAGAATTGATTCATGAAATATTTCAGGGGTGCAATTGGCAATATGACAAAAAAAATACTTAAAATATGCAATATCTTTGAGGCAATAATTCTAGTTCAAGAAATTTACTTGAAGTAAATAACCAGAGATGTGAGAAGATGTGTGTGTGAAGAATATTTACAATAACTTATTTCTCTAGTTAAACAAAATAGAGCGCTCACTTTAGCAGCACATATACAGATAATCTTCAATTTATGGTGGTTTATCTTGTGGTTTTTCAACTTTACAATAGTGTAAAAGTGATAAACATTTGGTAGAAACCATACTTATTTCACCATCGCTAAATAAAGTAGCCAGCCATTGCTTTCAGTCAGCTGCATATTTCAACATAATACTTTCTACTTACAATGGGTTTCTTGGAAAGTAACTCTACTGTAAGCCAGGAGCGTTTGTACTAAAATTGGAATGATAGCATATTAACATGGTCCCTGCACAAAGATGACATGAAAATTTGTGAAGCTTTCCATATTTTTCAACCCAAAGAGTTCATCAAGACAAATAATAATCAAATTATCAAAAATAAAAGACAATTTTGAGAGCAGCAAGAGATAAGAAATGCATTGCGTACAACAGTATTTTAATACCACTATCAGTTGACTTCTCATTAGAGACCTTGCAAGGCAGGGAGGAGTGGGATGAAATATTCAAAACGCTGAATGAAACAAACCTGTCAACCAAGGATATCTGGCAAAGCATTCTTTTGGAAATGAGGGAGACAATGGTAGCATCTTACAAAATAAGATGTTTACAAGATGTGCACAATAGCAAAACCATGATATTGACATTTATACAGTAAAGATACAGAAAATTTCCATCACCAAAGAGATCCCTTGTATTGTCCACCTTTCCATCTACTCCTCTCCTCTCTTCCATTCCCTACCCCTGGCCACTACTAACCTGTTATTTATGTTTATAATTATGTCATTTTAAGAGCGTTATATAAGAAGAATCATATAATGTGCAATCTTTGGGGACTGGTTTTTTTCACTCAGCATAACTCCCTGAAGATTCATACAGTTTGCTGCAAGTATCACTAGCTCATTTCTTGTATTGCTGAGGTAGTCCATGTTACGGATGTATCAGTTTGTTTAACCATCTGCCCATTGAAGGATGGCTGAATTTTTTCCAGGTTTTTTGGTTCTGGTGAATAAAGTTGCTACAAACATTTAAAAAAGAAAAAATAAATGAGAAAAAATAAAAACATTCTCAGGTAAACAAAAGTTAAGGAAGCTTATCAGCATTAGGCCTGCCTTACAGGAATTGCTACAGAGAGTTCTTTAAACTGAAACAAAAAGCTTCTAATAAATAACATAAAAGTTATACATGCACAAACCCAATGGTCTAAGTAATACAGAGCAATAATCAGAGTGCTCTAGGACTATAATGTTGTTATGTAAAGTAATTTTATTCTTAGTACGGGGTAAAGGACAAAAAAATTAATAACTACTGTTGAAATAAATTGTTGAGGAATACATACTATAAAATGATGTAAATTCAGACATTAAAAATGAAAATTTGGGGGGGGAAGTAAAAGTATAGATTTGTTGTATGCAAAATTTGCTTACTCTTACTGTTATAAGTAGAAGATACTCTATGTAAGCCTCATGGTAAACAAAAGCAAAAAATGTTTATTGGAGACACACAGAAAAATTAAAAAGATTCAAAACTACGACTACAGAAATTTATCAAACCACAGAGGAAGACAGCAAGACAGGAAGAAACAAAGTATCTACAAAAACCCAGAAAACAATTAACAAAATGGTGAACAGTAATTCCTTACTATTGGCAGTAGTGAGTCCTTACCTATCAATAAGTACCTTGAATATCAATAGATTAAATTCTCCAATAAAAGGACATACAGTAAATGAATTTATAAAAAATAAGACCCAACTACATACTGCCTACAAGAGACTTAACTCACTTTTTAGGATACACAGACTGAAAATGACGACTAAAAAAAGAAGATATTCTATGCAAATAAAAACCAAAATAACACAGGGATAGTAATACTTAGCAAAAAATTAAAGAGGAAAAACTACTTCCAAACTTTTATTATCAATTTATTTATTTATTTATTTATTTATTTATTTATCTATTTTAAGACAGAGTTTTTCGCTCTTGTTGCCTAGGCTGGAATGCAATGGCACGATCCCGGCTCACTGCAACCTCTGCCTCCCGGTTCAAGAAATTCTCCTGCCTCAGCCTCCTGAGTAGCTGGGATTACAGGCCTGCACCACCATGCCTGGCTAATTTTGTATTTTCAGTAGAGACAGAGTTTCTCCATGTTGGTCAGGCTGGCCTCGAACCCAAAATTTTTTTAAATAAGTCCAGCATCACTCTGATACCAAAGTCAAGCAAGGATATAAAAGGAAAGAAAACTACAGGCCAATATCCTTGATGAATATAGACACAACAATTCTCAACAAATTAGCAGCAAGCCAAACTCAACATCACAAAGGATCACTTATCATGATCAAGTGAGATTTATTTCTGGGATGCAAGGATGGTTTAGCATTCACAAATCAATAAATGTGATACACCATATTAACAGACTGAAGGACAAAAAGTTATATAATCACCTCATCAGATGCAGAAAAAAATTTGACAAAATTCAACATCCTTTCATGACAAAAACACTCAGCAAATTAGGTATACAAGGAAAGTCCTTCAACACAATTAAGGCCATACATAATAAACCCACATCTAACATTATACTCAATGATGAAAAATTGAAACCCTTTTCTCTAACAACTGCAACAAGACAAAAATTCCACCTCTTGCTACTTCTATTCAGCATTGTAATGGAAGTCCTTCTTAGAGCGATAAGGCAGGAGAAAGAAATAAAAGGCATCTAAATAAATAAAAAAGAATTAAAACCATTGCTACTTTGCTGATGGAATGATCTTATATACAGAAAAAGCTAAAGACTATAACCAAAAACTGTTATAACTAATAACAAATTTGGTAAAGTTGCAGGATACAAAATTAATACACAAAAATCAGTAACATTTCTCTACACTAAAAACAAACTTTCCAAAAAGGTAATCAAGAGAACAATCACATTTACAATAGCTACAAAAAAATTAAATACTTAGGAATAAATGTAACCAAGGAGATGAAAGACCTGTACATTGAAAACTATAAAACATTAATGAAAGAAATAGATGAAGACAAAGATAAATTGAAAGATAGCCCATGCTTATGGATTGGAAGAATTAATATTGTTAAAATGTTCACACTATCCAATGCAATCTATAGATTTAATGTAATCCTTACCAAAATTCCAATGTCATTTTTCATAGATATAGAAAAAAACAATTTAAAAATTCATATGGATCCAAAAAATCTCAAATAGTCACAGCGATCATAAGCAAAAAGAACAAAGCTAAAGGCATCACATCACCTGATTTCAAGCTATACCACAAAGTGGTGATAATTAAAACAGCATGGTGCTGGTACAAAAATAGACACATTGACCAGTGAAAACTGAACAAGAGCCCAGAAATGAATCCATACAACGACAGTCAATTCATTTTTGACAAAGGTGCAAAGAGTATGCAAAGAGAACAATAAATGATGTTGGGAAAAGTGGACATTCATATGTAAAAAAATGAAAGTGGACCTTTATCTCACACCACATATAAAAATAAGCTCAGAATATTTCAAAGACTTAAGCATAAGGTCTGAAACTGTAGAACTATAAGAAAACATAGGAGAAAAATTATTCAACGTTGGTCTGGGCAAAGATTTTTTAGATTTAACTTCAAAAGCACAGGCAACAGAAACAAAAATAGACAAATGAGAATGAAAACCTTCTGTGCGGCAAAGAAAAAAACTGATAGAGTTGAAAGATAACCTATGGACAGAAATAAAATATTAGCAAGTCATACATTTGGTAAGGGATTAATATTCAAAACATATAAAGAACGCAATCTATAGAAAGAAAACAATCTGATTAAGGAAAGGGCAAGGGGTGTGCGCAGTGGCTCACGTCTGTAATCCCAGCACTTTGGGAGACCAAGACAGGCGGATCATGAGGTCAGGAGATTGAGACCATCCTGGCTAACACGGTGAAACCCCGTCTCTATTAAAAATACAAAAAGTTAGCTGAGCGTGGTGGCGGGCGCCTGTAGTCCCAGCTACTTGGGAGGCTGAGGCAGGAGAATGGCATGAACCCGGGAGGTGGAGCTTCCAGTGAGCTGAGATGCACCACGGCACTCTAGCCTGCGGGACAAAGGGAGACTCCATCTCAAAAAAATAAATAAAATAAAATAAAATAAAATAAAATAAAATAAAATAAAATAAAAAGAGCAAGGAATCTGAATAGACATTTCTCAAAAGACAGCATACAAATGGCTAGCAGATACAGGAAAAAAGTCTGTGACATCACTAATCATTAGGGAGATGCAAATTAAAACCACAATAAGATATCACCTTATACCTGTTAGAATGGCTATTTTCAAAAATATGAAAAATAAGTGTTAGTGAGAACGTAGAGAAAAGAGAATCCTTGTACACTATTGGTGGAAATGTAAATTGGTAGAGCCATTATGGAAAAGAGTTTGGAGTTTCCTCAAAAAACTAAAATACAATCATCATATAATCCAGCAATCTAACTTCTGGGTATTTACTCAAAAGATTTGAAACCAGTATGTTGAAGAGATATCTGTGCTCCTACATTGTAGCACTATTTGCAATATTCAAGTTATGAAATCAACCTTAGTGTCCATCAGTGGATGAATGGATAAAGAAAATGTGGTATATAAACACAATGGAATATTATTCAGCCTTAAAAAGGGACGCAATTCAGTCAATTGTAGTATGAATCAACTTGGAGAGCATTATGCTAAGTAAAATAAGCCCAACACAGGAAAACAAATACTATATGTTTTATATATGGAACTTTAATAGTGGAACCTAAAATAATTGAACTCATAGAAACAGAGTAGAATGGTGGTTACCAGAGGCTGGCGGATGGGGAAAATGGGGAGATAGTCAAAGGGTATGAAATCTCGGTTCGATAAGAAGAATATTTGATTTCTTTTTTGAGATCTATTACATAACATGGTGAATATTGCTAATACTTGAAAACTGTATATTTCAGTCACTAAGAAAATACATTTCAAGTGGCCTCATCGTAAAAAAAGTTCATTTAAGGTGATGAATATGTTGATTAGCTTAATCAGGTCACATTGTTTTAAAAATCAAAACACTACTTTGTACCACTTAAATATATACAACTATAATTTATCAATATATAATTAAAATTAAACAAGAAAACCCAGGAGAAAAGTGGGACATGAGATACAGACCATTTATGCTACAATAAGGTTTATAAAATTCTAACTTTTTTCTTTAAGATAAAAATTAAAAACAAATGAGACTATAAGTTCCCTCAAAAAAAAGAAATATAGAAACACCTGTTATAGCCCAAACAATGGAACTAACCAAATAATTTATAGTAAATGTTTAA